CTACTGCTGTAGATGAGTCCCTTGGCTTCACTATTATGTGTCAGCCTTCTAGAAATCCCTTGGTGTTAGTTGGCCTCAGTAGATCCAAGCAATTCTATGTGGATGAGTGCTGGTTCTGGGAGGAAGAAGGAGCCAGTCTCCCAGAGAGGCTTCATGACTTACTACAACAGCAATGGCCAGTCCAATCAGGCCCATATATACTTGCTAGAAGGTGGGGAAGGCAGAGCAAGATAATCAGATAAGCCATCAGAGAATTCTCAAGGCAGGCCATGGTCTTGACTCTGTATCTGGAAAATTGATGGAATACAGGAATGAGTTAAAACATATTTTGTTTGTGTGTTTGTTTGTTTGTTCCTAGTGACTAGGAAAATAGGAATACTTAAGCAAAATATATTTAATTGGCTTGTTTTGAAAAATTTAGGAATGGAGATGGGCTAGGCACATGGAACTCAAATGTTAACAAGACCTGATCTCTCCCAACTTGCCTCTCTAACCCTGTATTTCCTTAAGTTTCATTCAAGTTCTCTCCTGCCTACTGAGGTCACATGACAGTGACACCTATAAACTGTTAGTACCTTGAATCCAGCAGGAAAATCACAATCACAGAGTCCTCTGAAGACTCCTTAATTAAATTTGGTCACGGCTTACTCTTGAGCTGTCATTTGAACCAGGGAAATGCGGCTCTCTGCTAAGCTGAGTCACTTAATCACTCTTGAGACCAAGGGTAGAAATGTCATCAGGAGAAGAACTGGAAAGCTCCTCAAGGAGGAGTTAATGTGAAATGTCCAAAAGAAGGAAAGCAGGGTTTGGTGAGGCTGAGGTCTGGAGGTGGAAAGGAAACCATCACAATACCATTTTCTGTCACTTTAAGAAGTACTATGGACTCGGAGTGTTCCAAAGTTATTGCTCCCCGTTCCCTGAGTGTCTCAGCTATCCCATACCATTTCCTTTACTTGACTCACATACTCAGTGTGAACAACTGCCTCATCTGGCACTGGCACTGTGTACTGTTGACTGTCTTGGACCCACCACTGCATGTCATGGTCATTCACAAAATCCTGAAACAGGTGGAGTCTGGATATGCATAGAATGTTCAGACCTGTACTTACACCAGGTTTTAATCCACTTAAAAACTAACTGAAAACTGAATGTGAGAGCTTTGCCTCTTTCAGAAAAGAGTTCATATCTTGATGATGCCTTGTAATTTAGCCCCAGACCGAAATGAATTGTAATGGAAGTGAGCAAATTTTCATGTGTTCAGTCAGCTTCTATATTCTTACTGGTGAGGCATCTGTTCAAACCTTTTGTCTCTTTTCTCCTTTGCCTGCATGCCTTCTTTTACTGATTCCAAGTTTGTTTGTATGTATATATTCTAGTAATGGTTAGCCCTTTGTTGAATAAATGGATCACAAATACGTGTCCTTTGGATTATCTTTTCATTCTCCTAGAATATCACTGAGTTAGAAGTCCTTATCCATTTTGCATTCCCTTTTTATGGTAATGTTTTAGTTAGATTTGAGGAACTTCTCACTAATTCAAATGTCACTGGGGACATTGAATATGTTCTTTTTCCACCTTTTCTTTATTTTTTACTATTAGATAGGCAATTTATTTTTGTTTTGGTTGGCATAATGGTAATGGTCAAGACACTGTTTTCTCCCATTAAGTGTCCTTTTTGACTTAACCACCCTGTATCTAAGATACTGTGATGTTGCTCAGAGATGCTGTTTATCAGTGGCAATCTTGGCCTCATGTTCCTTCTTTGGTCTTTATTATAGGGTTTGTTATATTCCACACCATCTAAGGATATAACATTCCCTTTCAGCTGCTAAGAATGCTTCAAGAATGAAAGTGGCCCAGGCTTAGCACTTTTCTGGTCAGAATGCAAGCTCAGCTGCCATAACAAAGGCCCCACAGAACAGTCAGTTAAACTACACAGGGCATTTTTATCTCTCATGGACAAATCAGAAGTGTCAGGCCAGGGCTGATATGGAGGCTCCTCTTTTCTCTGTACTACACACAGTTTCTAACTCATAGTCCTAGACAACGGCTTCAGTCCTTGTTGCCGGGTCCTTGTTCCAACTAGATTTAAAGGGAAAAATGAATTAAAAAGCCAAGTCACATCATGCTAATAGTAGCCTAAAGGTTGAACACATTAAGCCTTCCTTGTCTCATTGTCTAAAGCTTTGCATGTGGCCACATCTGATTGTAAAGAAAGTGGAAAATGCTGTCTGCAATCATGTGGCTATCCCCAGCAGAAACCCAGAAACTAACTACTAAAGAAAAAGGAAACACCCATTTACTGTTGGAAAGGTAGAAGTTTCTATCCCATCACCCTTGACCACTGCTCCAGGCTTCCCTTCAATGGCCATAATCTGATCATTGTAGTAACCTAGACATTGTAGTAACCTAGACAGTTACTCAGTATATGCCCTATTTGGAGTGTGTCGTCATTACTTGACCTTCTCTCCAAGGTCATTGGTCCTTCAGCAGCCTGGAGAGTCTTCTTGTGCCAGTCAGTTGATATTGTGTCTACCCTGAGACCTACTTATCAGAGACTGCTCACTGGGAAAATGTGATGACAGTCACTGTTACAAATGATCTGGAGAGTTGGGTAACATCTCAGCCAGCATGAGGGTGACAAAGACCCGAGTGGACTCCAGAGTCTGTTTTCTGTCACATGCCCTTCCCAACACACTGTGTTTGCAGTGACAGCCATCACCATGCAGCCACATTATCTTTTTTCTTCCTACTTACTCCCTGCCTGTGTATGTGTGCTAGAAGCATGTGCGCATGTTTGTGTGTGTCTGTGTGTCTGTGTGTGTATCTGCATGTGGAGGCCAGAGGTTGATGCTGGGTGTCTTCCTCTGTTCCTCTGTTGATGTGCTCCCCCCTTTTTTTGAGACAGGGACTCTCACTGACCACGAAACTCAACCAATTTGACAAGACTTGCAGGTAGCAAGCCCTGGGAAGCCTCCTGTGTCTGCCTTCCCAGTGCTGGGATTACAGGCACCTGATACCACGTTCAGCTTTTTACGTGGATGATAGGCAAAGGCCATATCTCAGCCTAATTACATTTATTCATTTGTTATTCAGTCTACTATGTTTACTGAGGACCCACCATAAGCATGGAATTGTTGGAAGTAGTAGAAAGCACCACCCATGGATGGAATAACTAGTACCTTTCACACAGAGAAAAGCAATCCCTTTTATTTATAATATAATGATATAGCACTATGAAGTCAGCTCCCAAACACATTGCATGTAAACAGTTCTGCAATCTATGTGGTAGGGATGGTGGTTGTGAATATATACAATTTATCTATAATTATATCCTAATTAGCTAAGTGCTGATGGTAGCATTTAGGAGACCCTTAAGGTGAGTCACAGAATAAACGAGAATTATTTTAGAATCTAGAATGCCTTCAGGTTTTAGCCTTATATTTATTTTTTCTTTTGAATATCATTAACTAAAATGTTAGCGTCTTTAATTGACACACAGAGTGTATTGTGTTTCAGTCATTACTTGCAATGTGCAATGATGTCAAGGCCACTAGTATTTCCTGCCCCTTGAACTGTGTCATTTGTCCTGACAAGCTTTAAATATTAGCCCTTGTCCTATACAAATGTTTTTGGCGCTGGTTATCTGATCTCCTTCAATCCTCTTCCAGCCAGAGGGTGTCAAGAAAGACTTCTAGAGGAAGTCCCTTAGCTGGGACTAAAGTGATGAGTTTATCTATCTATGTGAACTCGCCTTTTTAACTACACTGTGAGAACGTGTAATATTTCTATTTCCACATCTAGCTAACTATACCTTACAGTGCTCTCCACTTCCATTCATGTTGTTGAAAATGATACGATTTCATTCTTTCTTATGAGTAAATAGTATTCATGTATGTACGTATCACATTTTCTGCACCTGTCCATCCTTGATTGACTCTAAAAGACCAACTGTTGTAGGTTGTTGTTTGGCTCTTTTTGAGGGGCCCAACACCCATCTCTCATATGAATCACACACGGAGGCTTATTCTTAGTTATGAATGCCCAGCCTTAGCTTGGCTTAGTTTCTAGCCAGCTTTCCTTAAATTAACCTGTCTATCTTTTGCCTCTGGGTTTTTCGGTTCTCTAACTTCTATAAATCTTACTCTTACTCCATGGCTTGCTGTATAGCTAGGTGGCTGGCCCCTGGAGTCCCCCTCCTTCTCTGGCTCCTAGATCTTAGATTCCTTTCCTCCCAGATTTCTCCCTCTATATATTCTGTCTGCCTGCCAGCCCCACCTATCCTTTCTCCCATCTTGCTATTGGCCATTCAGTTCTTTTATTAGACCACCAGGTGTTTTAGACAGGCACAGTAACACAGCCTCATAGAGTTAAACAAATGCAACATAAACAAAAGTAACACACCTTAAAATAATACTCTACTCCAACAAACATCAAGCTTGTCGACATTCCTTCGGTTGTTTTTCTCAAATATAAATCTGATGCCCTGTCCCTCCCCTTGACCCCTGTTCGCCCTCGGGTTAGTTCCAAACTCTTCAGCCTCCTTGTATATACCCAGGTCCATTGGCCTTCCCAGTTCCTGCTGATTTTCCTACGTAGAACACTACAGCCACACTGAGTTGTTACCCACAGCTCCCTAGGAGACCACGTTCTCCCTCACCTCTGCACCTCCACAGTGGCTTTTCCTTCTCCAGTCTTTACCTCACGGTCACCCAGCTACCCTAACCCATCCCTTCAGTCCCAGCTAAGGCACTCATTCCTCTAGAAGTCTCTCTTGACACCCCCAGGCTGAATGAGTGCTGCTTAGCAACCTGTACCTCACAGGTCCTACCTCCGGCGAATCCTATCAACTGCCCCTAATCTTCCTATGAGACCAAGGGGGGCGCAGGCTGTGTAAACAGGGCAGGGCCTGTGTTTCCACAGCTGCAGTCGAGGAGCCCAGCAAATAGTTTTGAGATGGATGAATAACGAATGTTTGTTGCCTTCTCATATTTCCTCAGAATTACAACCGGACCCCTGTGATGGTCTTAGCCGTCCCCATCGCAGTGAAATTCCTCCACAGAGGTAACAAGGAGCTGTGTAGGAACATGTCCAACTACCTATCCCTGGCTGCCATCACCAAGGCTGATCTCCTGGCTGATCACATCGAAGGGATAATAAAGAGCATACTCCAAGGTACAGTGCAAGAACTGAGCTCGGGTGTGTTTAAAAGAAACTCAGTGAATTGCTCATGGCCCCTGTGAGTGAGGCCTAGTACACAAAAAAAGGGTGAGTTAGTTTTTTTTTGTTGTTTGTTTGTTTGTTTTTGGCCTCTGCTGATAGTTGACTTGTGATCATGCCATGTCTCCTGGGCGAGCTCAGTGTGTTTCTTTACCTGGAAAATGAAGTACTTAGAGTCAATAAGAAAGTATGAGCTTCCTGACAGTCCTATGATTCTCAGTCTAGAAAGCTGTGTAGCCTGTGGTTCCTGTCAAGGTGTCCAATTCCTGGCTGTGGAGAGCTCATTCTGCAACAGGTCTCTCAGTGGTTGATGAAAAAGCACTCTTTCCTTTCATTTCTGAAATTAAGATGTATCCTTGATTGCATAAAATACACAGAGCCAGGCTTGGTGGCACATGCCTTTAATCCCAGAACCTGAGAGGCAGGGGCAGGGGCATCTCTGTGAGTTCAAGGACCACCTCCTCTACATAGTGAGTTCTAGGACAGCTGGAGCTACATAATGAAATCTTGTCTAAAAAAAAAAAAAATCAAAACAAAAGATAAAATACACAGGAAGACATATGATGACTTTTCTAACTCAAATATGACTTGAAACTAATTTACAAGTGCATTAAATACTACCAAAATAAATATAAGGACATCTTTGTTATTACATGATTTGAACAAAGAGTTCAAACTAATTCATGCATAATATGTCCTTTGTTATGGGGGGGGTCTTATCTATCTGAAACCTTGTTTTCTTTCTTTCTTTCTTTCTTTCTTTTTCTATTTTTAAGGTATTTCAGGTCAGAGAACAATATATCAAATGACTTGGTATGCATCCAGATATCCCCAGTCCTCACTGATCAAAATGCATGAGGTCCACAGGCATTGCTGCCCATAGATTTATTCAGACCCCACAGGCTCAGCTTCTTGCAAAGTGCTCCTGAGCTCCTAGTCCGAGAGTTTCTTGGAGTCTCCAAGAACATCCTGAATGTGCTCTGTGCCCAGTGTACCCAGGCCAGCCCACAATCTAGGTCCTTTTGACCAGGCTTCTTAGCTTAGTACATTGTGGTAGCATTCTCCTCATGACTGTTCCCAACAGGGGCCTTATGGAGGCTCCATGCTGTCCTGCCAGAATGCTGGCCTCTGCCCTCATGTGATTCCTCGCCTGAAGCTTCAGGAGCCATGACTCCTCGGACCTGGAGTTCCATGTGGCAGCCTCTGGCGGCAGAATAGCAATCATTCTCCCTGGTATTACACCTTGGTTACACCTTGCTAGACAGTTGCTCATTTCGGGTACCGGGCTGCTTTTACTGTGTTTGCAATAAGATAGGGAGTATACTCTTTCTAGATGTGTGGCTCAGTGGTAGACCTCTCACCCAGATGAACAAGGCAAGAGGTTCAATCCCCATTGCTGGGGAGCGGGGGTGGGGGGGGGGAGGGGGAACCAAAGTACTCCCTTTCCTTTCCTGAAATCTGAAATTAACTGTCCATCTGTGCATAGCCCCTGTCCTACCCTATCTTCTCACACACCCCACTTCACCCCACCCCTTCTAGCATTCTTGGAATGCCTACTGCCTGCCAAGGAGGAAGGTTTTGTCCTCACCTCAAGCTCAAGTAAGGAGGCTCCTCTGTGTCACCACAGACTCCTGGCCAGGATAGCCCACTGTCTGCCAGATGCCCAGATATGTCTGACAACCAGGGACAGTGAAGTGTGTCGCTCAGCCTGTGCTTCTCTGTAAAGATTTGCCATTAGTGATATTAGTCAGTGGTTTTGTTCCTAAGTTTCTTTGGCTTCAGGATCAAATTGCTAGTTTTACTTCACATGTAATTGAATTTGATGCAAGTCCAGAAAAGCAATTATGCTTTTATTTTTACCACCTTGAAAACATTTTTTTTTGAAAAAAAAAATCATAAAAACTACAAACACACCAGGCATTTTAAAACTATGGGAAGTAGACTTTCGAGTAACAGATTTATATAAAAATGAATTCTCCCTTTTCAGACTGCCAGGAGCTTAGCTCATACTTTTGAGGCTTTTTAAATGTTATTTCAATGACAAAGAGATCTTTGAAACACAAAATCAACTATAAGTGCACTGTAAGCATTTGAAATAAACAAATAATTTGGTTTATGTGATCTGGCACTCTGAAAATTGCCGGAGAATCAATAGTAACTTGACCTATGAATGGCTGAGGCTGCGTATTCCAGGGTTTTGATTTTGAGGGCTGACAGGACTATAAAGCTCCATCCACCACTCATGTGAGGTGCAGAGCAAAAGGGATTTTGAGTAGTGAGTTCTTTGCTCTGCAAGTCTCCATTTGATGCTCCCTGTGAGCAGCTTTAGTGAGCTCCTTGGGGGTCTTTCTTCATTCCATGTAGCCACCGTTCGACTCTTGTCTTTGATCAGTGCCTGTCTTCTTTGATCTGAAGTATCCTAATCTTTAGGCTCTTGTCTTTGATCTGTGACTGTCTTCTTTGATCTCTAGTATCCTAATCTTCATTCTCCTGGACGTCTACTCTTACCAAAAGGTTAGCGGTCATCTGTTCAATGATGATACTTACATCCGTACAAAGACTTTGTAATAATAAAGTCAGGCAATTTTCGTGTCAAACGTTGTGTTAATTCATTTGAACAAACTAGATCAGCATTATTGTGAGAACTGCAAAACAGAAATCCTATTATCCCATTTTCCTGGGCAGTAACACTTTAAGTAACAAAAAAACCTTGGTATAAATGACTTGATGGAGAGGATAAAGAAAAGGAGGAGGAGAAAGAAGAAGATGAAGAAGAAGAAGAAGAAGAAGAAGAAGAAGAAGAAGAAGAAGAAGAAGAAGAAGAAGAAGAAGAAGAAGAAGAAGAAGGAAGAAGAAGAAGAAGAAGAAGAAGAAGAAGAAGAAGAAGAAGAAGAAGAAGAAGAAGAAGAAGAAGAAGAAAATAGAGAGGAGAAAGGAAAGGGAGAAGAGAGGAGGAGAAACAAAGAGGGAGGAAGAAGAGATGGAGGAAGAGGAGGATGAAAGGAGGAGGAAGAAGAGGAGAGAAAGGAAAAGGAGGAAGAGGAAGAAGGGGATGAAAGAGGAAGAGGGAAGGAAAGAAGAGGAGGGTGAAGAAGAGAAGCCACTCTTTGTTGGCACATGAAAGTCCATGGGTGGATCAGACTTCCCCTTGACTCAGCGTGGGCCTCAGTGGTGGCCCTGAAAGCTGTGGCTAAGCATCTTCTGCTGTATTGCTTTGCTTTTACGTCCCACAGCGTGTCCAGCTCACATCACTGTGAATACCGACTGCATAGAGTCCATATCCAATCTGATTTTCTGTGTTCCATCCAACTCTGGCAACCTGACTGTTTCTGAAGTGACACATTATCACTGCAGGTAGATACTGTCTATCAGTTGTCTGCTGAGATCATAGGTGACCTCAGAAAAGGAGCTGGCAATGGACTGCAGTAAACCCACATGAGTGAGGAGTTAGGAAGGAGTGGATCCCAGAAAATGTGGCAGGCTGCTGTGTGGATGAACAGGGGCTGTGTGGAAGCCACGAATGCCCACCATGTCATTTTATACACAAGCAGCTGACTAGAATTAAACCCTGGCCATTTCACCTCAAAGCTACCTCTGCCGTTGAATCCCAGCTCCACTGAATATTGGTTGTGCTTGTATTTTTCTGAGCACTGGTTTCTTCTTGTGTAAATCGAGATGTTCAGACAATGGCATAACACCACAGCTTAGTTTGCTCTCCATGGATATTAGCTAAGACAGTGATGGTAACAATTACGACAGCCTGCCTATATTTGAATATTTTAGTGCCAGGAGACCCACTGTTTCTTGTGTAAACCTACATCTTTCTGGGGTATTTAGTTCTTACGATGAATTAGATATTCTTTCCCTGTGGCCTTTCATTTTTGGCTAACGCCTTCCTCTTGGGTCTCTTGGGTGTGATAAGCTTTCAAAGATGGAGCATCACTTCTCATGGCTCCTCATGTCTGTACCATTGTTTTCTTCTCCAGTCATAACAAGCAGGTTCCCTGCTAGTTCACTGACTCAGCCAAAAATGACTTCATTCTGAGTCACTTTGCAAGATGCCCTCTGGTCCCTTCCATGTGGCCTGCCCTCTTGAACTCTCTCTGGCTTTCTTGTCAGCACTGGGCAGTGTATAGCTCATGGCTGATCATAATCATAATGGTCTAAGCTGTCTCCATAAGGACTAAATGGGTGTCTCTCTGTTTAGAAGCATAATGCAACCTTAAAATGAAGTTGTTTCTTTTAGTCGGCCAGCCACATAGTCACATCTTTATTTCTACTGATCTCCTCCACTACATCTTCAAAGGTTTTCTTTGTTAAACACACACACACACACACACACACACACACACACACACACACACACGCACACACACACACACGCTAGTTATTTTAGTATATTCAGCAATTTCTTCTGTGTTCTTGGTTTTAAATCAATCTTTTAAGCTTCACATAGTACTTACATTTTAAACTATTTACTGTTTCTCCCCCACCACCCATGGGATTCAGCTCAATGCTTTTCCAGGGCAAGGCTTATAAAATATGCTTCTTGAATTTCAATGTGTTTGCATTTCTTCCAAGGTCTTTGTCAACTATAAATTCCTTAGTCAGTGCCACTCTTTCTTCAAAACACCAATTCAAAGGTTGACCCTGTGAGGTCCAGGGCCTTGGTGTGCCAGTACTGTTTACCTTTAGACTTGGCTCATCATAGTCCACTGATTATAGTTTTCAAAATTGTACCATATATTACAAATCAAATTCCTCATATATGTTTATAATTCAACTATGAGAAACTATATGAAATGGGATTGTATATTTACCCCTAAAGAAAAATGTTTGAATAATTCTAAGCCAAATTTTTTATAATTTTTTCTTATTACTGAGTAAGTATGTACAACTTAATTAAATCTAAGTACAAAATTTATTTTGTTCAGGTTGTTTAGATTGCAGTTACC